CACAAGAGGAGATCATCTTCTGAAATCAAATATCACCTTCTGGGCTTGTTGTAACATACTCCTTGTTGTCTTCCAACAATTCCTAAGCAGCCTCAGCGGACAAAGCAGGGTTTAAATACGCGGGACGTACCATAATAATTTGGACAAGTATCCCACCTGTGGCAAAACATGGGTACTCAGGACCCTTCCAGTTGAGGGTATGCAAGATGGGCCCAAGGAACAGCCCTAAACCCCTAGGAGGGCCTTCAACATCTTCTGCTAGATTCTGGGAGCAATCTGAAGGGCGGACTCTGGCTTTCATCTTGTGACTTGAATCATAGGGTTCAAATGGACCCCCGCAATCGGAGCCGTCCCAAACCCAACGCACCCATTCGGGACTCTAGACTTCCCCTGCGCGTAACGTAGAAGCTTGAACAATTGCCAATACGATTCCTTTACCGTTTATATCCTTATGGCAGAATCTACCCTTAAAGCCTATTCTAACTTAACAGGCCCTTAAATCTTGTGACCGGATAAGTTTGGAATGGATAGTGTTTCAAAGAACATGCCGTGACGAGCTTTTCGAGTTCCATTCCTCATTGGCTTCTTTTCTGGGGTTGTGCCTGTGCAGGTAGATAAAACTTGGGTATTCTGATCATGCGTCTCCTGCTTGTAACCAGACGAAAATTGCCCATGAGCCACCAATTATGGACGTCTAGCTCAGTGTCATCTACTCTTTATACCAGAGACAAAGCCGTCACTCTTGGCGGGTTAGAAATACTCTACCCGGCTTTCTTGCTACCGTAATCTGTAAACCTACGGCTGGCATCTATAAGCTTCTGCCTTGAAAGAAAGTTTAAGTGAGTAGGTTCACGCACATGCCAGCCCCTAATTGCAGGGACAGTAGTCTCTATAGGGCTTTAGTTGGGGTTTCATGTTCGTTTGGACCTCCAATGTATCCAAGTCCGAGACTATCTCCTGCTCCAAAGACATTACAGCTGGTGGCTAATGGGGGAATGAAGGCGGTTAAAGGGACAATAGGGAAAAACCAAACCCCAAACCTCATACGTAATCCAAAGCCCTTCCAGAGCCCTAATCCTGCACCCCTTGTAATGACCCTCCCACCCCCTAATAACAAATGCGCCCCAACATAGTACGTGTTATGTAGCATGGGAGTAAACCAACAAATGCCAGGCGGCAATCTTGCCAATGCCGAGGTGGCATGAAGATGTCCCTACGTACAGTTTTGGGTTCAGGGTTTGGGGTGGACAAATTCGGGCTCCGGGTTTGGGGTTCATGGTTTCAGAGTTATTGGCGTTAGTAGGCGTGCTTACAAGATAATAACAAAAGACGACGATGGTTAGTGGGATAATTACATGCGCTGCAGTTGTATCTCTAGTGTCTTTAAGCCCTACGCTCTATAAACCCGCAAGTCTAACGCTTCTAAGTTTTTGGGGTTCTAATGCACCGGATGGCCTACTTGGGATCCAATGCTTCCGGGTTTGCATGGCCAGCGCTGTTTACATACCTGTGGTGGACGTCCCAACGTCGTAGTTTGGGGGGAGCCCCTAAACCCGAATCCGCAAACAGTAAGCAAATCCTGAACCCCAAACCACCGTATAGATCCGTTGGACATCCCCTTTCAATGGCTTTGTCTTCCTTCTTTGGTTTTGGCCCCACAAAATCGCCTAAGCTCCAAGCTCCAAAGCCCAATTTCCCAATGGGCCCACGACTAGGGTTTAAGGTTTGGGGTGTAGGGTTTAGGGATCAGGGAATCATTCGCAAGCATTTATCAGCAGTGCACGCCAAGCAGGCAAGCCGAGGCGACTGAGCCTTGTAGAGGAGCAAGCGCGTCGGATGGATGAAGTGGAGTTGCGCGAAAAGCAGGGCTAGGTGGACTACCTTGTGGATACTTTAGACTTTTTGGATGCAGGATGCAAGACCGAATCCTTTCAAGCCGAGATGCGTATTGGGGCATTTTGACACCGATTTGGCATGAGGCTTTTTGATGTGTGAAATACGCCTGTTTGAAGCGTGCCGTGTTTTCAACTTGACAGAGAGTTGGCTCGGTTATGCGCGACTATGAATTATGAATGGTAGTTCTCAACACCTGTTAGGTGTATTTGACGGTAAGTACGCAGAGTCTTTAGAGGGTGTTTTACGTGGGGATATGAGGGGATGTAGTGTTCACAACAATTTGCAGGGCTCCCGAAATGCAGGGTTCAGGTTCAAGGGGTTCTCATACTGTTGGGAAACAATTGCGGATGCTCTTGGACATAGTACCTTTAGGTTCCGAGGTCTTAATTCTACTGGTTGCAAAGGAGGCCATGATATCCCGGTGAAGGCATTGAGCTTGATTTGTGCGACATCTGCAGCACGTGAGCCGTGCTGCTCATTGACTAACAGGATCCATCGAGAACATGCGCTGCAATGCATGCATGTTGGAAAGATGTGTGGACCCATCTTGGTTCCAAGGCATTTCAACAGACGGCTCAACTTAGCACGTGTGTTCCAACACAATCATTGGTATTCTTCATATGCATTCTACAACGCAAGCTGCTCGTGTTTTGCCACAGCACGCCTGACCATGGTGCGCAAGGTGGGCTGTCGGAGAGCACATTGTTGGGAAACGGAAGTTTCAGCCTGATTGTTGTTCATTGTGAAATTGCTCAGTTTCTGATATTGTTCCTTGTGTATCCTTGTGTGTCGATAGCTTTTGCATACGCAAGATCTCACAGAGTGCTTTGCCGAGTAGCCGTGTAGGTGTAGGAAAAGGTTGTGTATTTTACCGATCCATGTTTTTTTGGGTTTTGCATTTCATGTTTGTGACGATGGGGCAGGTCCGGCCATCATGGTGGTTTGTAAGCGCCACGGTAGCTGCGGCTCAGTTTTGTCTTGCTACATGACCATTCGAAATGGGGTCTAGGAGTGTCAAGGCTTTACCTGAGTCATCAATGGCAGTTCCCTTGAGTAACCGCTGCTGGACAGGTAGTTCTGCTGCGGCATGGCGAAACTGAGTGGAGTGCAGCTTGGCATAATGTCACGGGATTAGCAAGATTCCTCCTGTTTGCGGAGGGGGTTAGAATTGTGGGTTTGTCAGGGATAGATCAATGCAACATGGTTGTGGCCACAGATTATACTTGGAAAGCTGCTCGACATGAATGTACACTACTGACATTAGTTTCCGTTTTCATATCCGTTATGTGGGCCATAGACGTCCCCTATGAATATATCCTTTTCTGAGGGCCCAGTAACATATCCCCAATTTCTATGTTGTCCATTGGGATGGTGGTCACTCTTGCTTGGCGAAGCGCCTCATGATTCCCAGAGAACCCCGTCCTATTAATATTCAGCACCTTGCATTCCTGATATCAGATATTCCCCAAGGAAATTTCATAGGTTGGAGGACACATTGGACATCAGGCGTGGGGGGGTGCCCTGTCGTTGCTTCCCTTTTAACCCAGATTGTCTGCATGATAGTTTATGTTTCTGGTTTAGGGTTTCCTAACATGCAATATACCTGCCAATTGTACGTCCCACTGCTCTCTTATCCGAAATGTAAAAGCCAATGTTATCGTCCCACATTCATTATGTACCCATAGTACAGGGTACCTCAACTTCAAAATAACAAAGGCAATGATGTAGGCCGTATAGTCAGCCGTTCTCACCCGCGATGGTGGCCGCCTTCCGTCAGGGCCCTTTACATTCTACGTTTCTGAACAGAAATCTGATGAGCTAGAGTTGGCAAAGGGGCGTCAAGAAATAAACGCCTTAGATTTAACAAGCTAGGACCCAATAAGTATCAGATGGACATAGTAGGGTCTTCATGTGTGTGAATTCGGGTTACCAAAATCATCTTGTTTTGTAGTTTACGACAAATTTCCGGTGTTCTCAGGAACCCCAAGAACAGGCCACCTATCTCCTTTTGCCCCGGCCTCCAAGAAGAGTCACTGATTTTGGCATATCCGGCCGCACATAACAAGATGACCTCTTTAGACATGTATGCTCAGGGAAGGTGCCAGGGTAGTTTGCCGTTTAGGCTTTAGGGTTTGGGAGCTGGCCAAGTATAGCTAGGGATCTACAGAATGGGCTTCGAGTCCCACTTGAAAAACTACCGACGCTTGAAATACAACGCCCCTCACCCAAATTAAGTGCTAAACCCTAAACCCTAGACTCTAAACTTATTGCTAGACTGTGTTTGCCGTTTGCGGCGGATCCTGTTCGGGATGCCTTGGTAGCCGGGATTTCACAGGAAGCCCTGAAGGGTATGGATCTGAACGGTTCGACATTGAAGTCCCTTGGATCCTTCTCTCAAACTGACACAGGCGTCATGACCTGCCCAAAAGGCATGCTACCCCAAACCCTGAACCCTGAACCCCTTCAACATAAGGTTCCAGAAGATGAGAAGCTTTTGCAAACCCTTCCCTTATGTAAGATGTCTGTGGGTCTATGTTCGGATGTTCGGACAGTTTCAAGCTACCCGCTTTCTGGTTCAGGGTTCGACGGAAAGACCACCAGGTCTTTCGAGAATAGCAGTACTTGTGGGCCAAGATTGCATACAGAGGTCTCTTCTCAATGACTTGCACTCTCACCAATCAATGTCCAAGTGTCATTTATGTATGCTAAAGTAGGGTGGTCATGTTGCGGGAGCACCAAATTTCTTCTTTGTCTGACGTTGCCGTTTGGCTCCCTGCCGCCAGCCGTTGCTGTGCGTTCAAGTGCATGAGCAGGTTGCCCTCTATCCACTGCATGACTGGATTGGCCATGCTGGAATCTGACATCTAGGTAGCCGACGGAGCTATGAACCAGCGCCGTCTCTCAGTGCTATACGGATATGTAGAAAAATCAAGGGAGATGATATATGTATAAGCAGGTTGGAACTATATATAGAGCATTCTAGGAATAGATTCATATTAATATATATATGTTCATATATATATATGTTTATATATATATATATGTTTATATATATATGTTTATATATATATGTTTATATTTATATATATCTATAAACTGATAAGCCAGAGCAAGCCATGATGACGGGCGTCCCAGCAGCGCGTGAGGGCAGCCCCGAGCCTGGGAATGCTGCGAGGCAACGCAGAGTTCTGCTTAGAGTCTCGAACTCACCCCCTCCTTTTGGATTTATGCTTAAGAGCTTAGGGTTTAGGGTTCAGGGCTTTGGGTTAAGGTCTGAGGGTTTAGGGTTAAGGTTTGAGGGTTTAGGGTTAACGTTTCAGGGTTCAGGGTTTTTATGGTTTAGGGTTATAATCACTTCCTGGGAATTGTGGAGCGGGGCAGAGGATTCCCTCTGTTCGCGGGCCCTGGCAGTGCGTTTCACAGTGTCGAGCTTGTCACTTACGTGTCAATATACCGTGATATATACATAAGGATATATAGGGATATATCGGATATGTGGTAACTTTTCCAAAATAAGGTGACCCCGATATAAACCCCAATGTATTAAACTCCTTATTATAGGGACCCCGAAAAAGATACACCTAATTTTTGGAAACCCTCATGTATGTCTTTCGCTTGTGTTGCCAATTTACAAGGCGTGGGGGTGGGGGTTAGAGGTAGTAGGGTAAGACGGTAGAGAAGTTGGACTGAGAGGAACAACTCTACTATTGATGTTCTGTTATTCCGAGGTTACTATGATTATTATCTGTCATCACTTTTATTGGTACCCTAAACCCTAAACCC